TTTCTTAAAAAAAAAAAAAAAAAAAAAGGAAAGGCGCCTGGAAGTGGTATAGGGAAGATAATCTACAAACAAGTATTACATTTGCACTTAGAGGGAATGTGAAGAAAAGGAAGAGGGAAGGGAGAAAACCTTAGCCAATTCCTGTCACCCACAGGCAATCTCGTTACTATGCCATTGTTTTATTTTTTTTTTATTTTATTTATTTATTTTTTATGCCATTGTTTTAAATGATTGCACAGCGCCCCATGTTCCAGGCTCACCCAGCCGGAAGGTACAGAGACAGTATCTAAAGTTCCAGCCGTGGGCAAACTACGGCCCGCGGGCCGGATCCGGCCCCGTTTGAAATGAATAAAACTAAAAAAAAAAAAAAAAGACCGTACCCTTTTATGTAATGATGTTTACTTTGATGTGTGTGACAGGGGGCGGTGCCCCAACTCCCCTATCGGCCCTACTCTGTGAGTGACAGGGGGAGCTCCTCAACCCCCTGATCGGCCCTGCTCTGTGACAGGGGGCAGAACCAATGCTCTTTCCACTACATTAATCTGAATGACAAAAACCAGGCACTGATCACTTTAAGTAAAGATATGGTTGTGCTGCGGGCTCAGACCTCAAGGCCGGCTGAAAATTTAGCCAACGCTGAGAAAAGCAAATTGAGTTTAATGGAGGAGTCAGGTAGGGAAAGCGACAGGATTCTGGGGCGATCGAGTTCTTTCTGTACCTCTCCCTCTGGATGGCTCATAATCATATCGATTCCACTGCCTCTCAGGTCCCATTTCTCTGAACTGAGTTAGCACGGAGGGTATTTTTCATGGAACATTATCTCCATGAACTACTATTGTTATTAACCTCCTTTCATGCTTTAGCAATGGGAAGCTGACAGCTCCTTTTAAGGACTAAGAGTAGATGAGAGGGGGTGTTTTAATGATGCCCTGGCTTTTCAGGACAGGTGTTTGTCTCTCTTTTTCAGAGCAAGAAACCCAGGGAAAGGAAATGTGCTTTGTAGAAATAGCAGGCACCAGGGGTGGGGGTGGGAGTGGGGCCAGCGACCTCCCTGCTCCTCTTTGAGCTCACATTTAGCTCTATTGAGCGGTGGGTCAGGTGCCCTTCTCAAAGCATCTGCTATGGAATTAGCTGCTTGACAAAGAAAATATTATTGCACCAAATACCAATGAGATTAGCCACTGACACATCTAAGGGAATTTGCATTTTATTGGATTCCCACATCATCCAGAGGGCAAGCTGTCATCGACCCCAGGTGACAGCTGAGGAAACCTGGGCCCCATCTCCTCCATCCTATGACCTTGCTGAAGGTCATCCTGTGCTTGGGCTAGAACTTGAGCCCAAATACAAACAAAGTGGTGCTCTTCGTGTTATAATGTACCCCGCGAATCACAGAAGGATGCCTCAAGAAGTCTAATTAAAGAGTCACATTTATTGCAATCCGGGACTATGAGGGGCCATTCCCCAAATCTCATAGTGATAAGATGGTGGCAAAACCAGACTTATATAGGCAAAGATCACAAAGGTATTGATTACATC